CCACCGCCTCCCTAAACTGGTGTTTAAGCCTTTAATACATGGTCCTTTGGGGACATTTAAGACCCAAATTATAGCAGCAGGGGTAAGGATGGAGCTCAGTGGTTCAGCACTTGCCTACCATGCCTGAGGCTCTGGGTCCAGTCCTCAGTACTGCAAAATAAATAGATAAGTAAAATTAATAAAAAACAAGTTATAGCCAGGTGCAAATCCAGTATGTTCCCCAAAAGGCAATTAGCAAATTCCTAATGAAGGAAGTGCGTACAAAAAGGGAGAGGTGAATATTAGGTATATTACTGGAATCACCTTATTCCATCAGAGGAATAACAGGTGAGAGGTATGTAAGCAATAGAGGAAACTATAGGAGTAAGCTGAAAAATGAGAAATCACTAAATGGTATTTTTAGACCCTATATGTCTTAAATTATGAGATGACAACAGATCCGAAGCTTTTAGTCATCTCCATAAACACATGTCTCCTAGTTTAAGTTGATAGGCACGGGTACTTTGTATTTCACAGGTATGTATTTCTAAATATTTAACACAAAGAAGAATTTCTTTGGCTTTTGACCTATATGTTGAAATGTCTCCAGAAAAAAGACAAAAGAGAGCAAAGGTTTGGGGTAATTATTATTATTATTTTTATTATTATTATTATTATTATTTCTTTTGTAGTGTTAGGAATTGAACCCAGGAACACTTTACCACTGAGCCACATCCCCCAGTCCCACTGCCTCCCCCGCACCTTTTTTTTTTTCCTTTCTCTTTGAGACAGCTTCCTGCCAAGTTGCTTAGGACCTCACTAAATTGTTGAGATTAGTCTTGAACTTAAGATCTTCCTGCCTCAGCCTCCCAAGTCGAGGGGAGGCGTGTGCCACCAGGCTGGGCAATAAAAGGAATTTCTGTCTACTTAGATTTGAAAGCCAATAAGAGAGATAATCCTCTCCACTGTCATCTTCTGGAAAATACAAGCTTTCTTCATAATTCTGCTGCTCTGCCTGTGTCAGTGTACATTTTCTGAAGTGCAAAAATTTGAGAATTTCAATGAAATGAAATTTCATTTGTCTTTATACAAATTCTTAGTCTCATCAGTTTCTTCGGCTTGATTTTTCCTTTTTTTTTTTTTTGTCATACTGGGGATTGAACGCAGGGGTGCTCTACTGCTGAGCTACATGCTATATCCTCATTCTTTTTTTTTTTTTAATTTTGCAACAGGTTCTCACTAAGTTGCATGTTTGGTTATTTCTATCACATATTATCTAGTTAGTTAGGGTAATAAGATGATACTGAGTCTATATAAAGGGGATTCTGAGCAGGAATTTTAAAGTACTAAATAGTCATTAGAAGGACCGAAATTATACTGTTTTACTTTTACAATGAAGTAAGTACTAGAGACAGTACTCACTCCTCCCTGATGGAGGGATATTACTGATTATTTCAAATGATCTCCATGTCTGGAAGTTTGAATTATTTTCCCTTTTAACACAATTGTGTGTTTGTCTACATTTTAGACTCTACAGATTTCTGTACAAATTCTAACATCTTTCAGTTTTCAATTATTAAATATGGAAAGTTATTTCGTACAAAGGCCTTTTGCAGGTTATGACATGAGTTTTGCCTAGTGCTCTGAATTTGAAGTGAAGAAATTCACTACAGCCCAGGTAAATGATGGGTGTATCCATGACTCTTGAGGTAGCCAAGTGCATCGTCATCTAATTAAGGAAGTGCGTGAATGGATGAATGATATTCTACTGTCCTTACCTATTATCTGATGAAACCACAGCCAAGGGAATGGCTTGGCAAAACCTGTAGGCAAACAAGATTCTTGTTGAACCTGACTATAAAACTGGCATGGTGAAGAGTCACTGAAAGAATAGGTTAAAGTAGGAAGGCCTATTGGAGACATGGAGGTTAGGCCTTCAGTCTTTAAACCCATGGTCATGTAAGCTTTTTAAACCCAGAGAAGGAAAAATTTTATTTTTTTTTAAAACTAAATATCATTTGAAAACAAAACCTAGTAAAAATTAAACCAAACGTAGGTAGATATCACCTGTGAATTTAAAAGTCCCTCCCCCAAAATAGAACAACATGGTAAGAATTGTGCATTAAGTAAGGAAGATTTAATTCAATGATTCATGAATATTTCAATGGTAGAATATATAAATTTTATCATGTTAAAATCTAAAGAGGAAAATTCATATTGTCATCATCCTGTTCACTGCAAACTCATTTAATTAAATGTAATAACCATTCTTTATAATAATACTTAAAAATAGAAAAATATATTTTCTTAACTTAATGAAATAAATCATGAGGTGACACATGCCTGTAATTCCAGCAACTCTGGAGGCTGAGGGAGGAGGATTTATAAGTTCATAACCAGCCTCAGCAACTTACCAAGACCCTAAGCAAGTGAGACCCAGTCTCAAAATAAAAAGTAAAAAGAGCTAGGGATGTGGCTCAGTGGTTAAGTGCCCCTGGGTTCAATCCCTGGTACCAAAATTAAAAAAAAAAAAAATCTCAGCTACAGAGGCAGTACCRTGGCATTTGAAGGCATTCTCATTAAGGTTAGGAATTAGACTAAAATAATTATTTAACATTATTCTGGATGACTAGTGAAAGCAAAGGAAAAAGAAGGAAATAAGTAGAAATGTTCAAAATAAGCAGTTAAAACTACCACTGTGTAGGTGATTGTAAAACTATATTACATTATAAATTATATATATATATATATATATATATATATATATATATATATATATATAATGAAGAAAATCATCTGCAAATCTACTGCTAAGAGGAGAATCTAGTAAGGTAATGAGATACAGAATTAGCTTACAGATACTGATAGCTTTCATCCATATTAAAAAAAGGCAAATTAAACAACTGGACCCAATTACAATATTAGCAAAAAGAATAAGATATGTAAGGATACAGTAAGTAGAAGTGTTGAAAGAAAKTTTAAACACTAAGAACACAAAAGGAGACTTGAATAAATGCAAAACACATCATGTTGTTAGAAAGATTCAACATCATAAAAGAATCAATTCTCCTAGTCTATATTTGTGTGTGTCTCTGTGTGTGTGTGTGTGTGTCTGTTGTGTTTGTGGTGCTGGAAACAGGCTGATTCTGAAGATCATATAGAAAAGTAAACCAGCAAGTTGACTCATGCTGGTAGTGCCACCAACTAGGGAACCTGAGGGTAGAGGATTGGAAGATCAAGGCCTGCCTAAGCAATTTAGAGATACCCTGTCTAAAGGTCTGGGTATATAGCTCAGTGGTAGAGCACCCCTGGGTTCAATCTCCAATTACTGCAATAAATTAGGTTGATGATTAATTAATTAAAACGAAAGTAAAAAAGAATAACCAGAAAATATTGAAAAAAATTACAGTGATGGAGAGAGAAGGAACTTCATCCCACTAAAGACTCAATTTTAAAGGAACCCTCTGACACAGCAATTCCTCTTGARTTCTGCCTGACAGATACGCATATGCAAAAAGAGATGCGTGCATATGTAAGACTAATCGATGCAGCATTGCTTTACAAGATCAGCCACAGGGGACTCATTAAACAAATTAAGAGAAAGTCCTGTACTGGAATACAGTGTAACAGCAAGAATGAGGAAAATAGTGAGCATTAATATGAAAGGTCTTCAAGATATGATGCCAGTGTGTACAGGACGCCTTGTAAAACATAGGGGAAATCTAAATTTGAGTCTGCTTGTRTGTGCATAAAGAAACTGTAGATATAAAAGACAAGCTCTTGTTACCTGTGGAGATGGGGATTAGATGGGAAATAGATTGATGAGTGCTATATACCTTTTGTCCTTTTTTTCAGTTTTGAACCAYACAAAAGTGTTTTGCCTGTTTACTATGTAAGTAAAGGAACAAATAAACAYATGACCATATAGTGAGATACTATGTGCTGATTTAAGCAACAACAAAGGAGTAAGGATGTTTTCTGGGTGTTTGAGGAAAAAAATCTCTAAGGATATTAAGTACATGAAAAAAGGTGCAGAATATGATGTACCATATGATTATTTTTGTTTGTTTGTTTTGTTTTGTTTTGTTTCAAAAAGAGGGAAATCTAAGTGCACCTGCTTGGTTTTGCTTGTACATGTGAAAGGATACTCAAGTTGGCAAATATTGTGATGTGCTGCCAGCACCCGCCAGCCCCTGTCAGGAAAGAAAGATTCCTTGCCCCAGCTGCTGGGACTGCTCTTAGCAGATGGCCATCAGCTGATTGCCCCCTGGGATCATCACATTATCTCTTCTTCCTGGGTTGACCTGTATCCAGTGAATGATCAGCACTGGGTATGAGGTCCTGAGGGCAACTCTGAAGTGCCKTCCCAACATTAGAACCCCCTGCTCTTAACTGTTTTGTGGTTTATCTGCTCCCTCTGCTGTGTTCCCTTCTGTAGGTGCAGACACAATGACACTCCTAATAAATTATTTTCTTGCTAAGAGTCTACTTCCAGGGGAGTCCACGAAACTAAAATCATGGGTTCCCTGCCATCGGGAGGGAATGAAAACTTGGTGAAAGCRGACAAGGTTGGAAAAACAACAAGTCATTTTACTCTGTTCGCTTTTTTTTTCGAACCCAGAGATGCTCTTCCACTAGGTATATCTCCAGGCGTTTTTAATTTTTAATTTTATTTTGAAAAAGAATCTTGCTAAGTTGTGCAGGCTGGCCTCGAAATTGTGGTGCTCCTGCCTTAGCCTCCTGAGTGACTGGGATTACAGGTGTGTGCCACACTGTGCCCTGCCACTCTTTGCCTTTTTATAATCAAATTTTTTTTTTGTACTAGTGGATCCAAGATTTCATAAGTGAAAATCTAAAAACTAACTTGATATGTCAGTACTATTTTGTGCCTGTTCATGTATATTTAGGGACTCTTTTTATTTCTTGATTTAGAAAGAGATATTTTAATCTAAAAATACTGTGCTACCACAATCTAAGTTTAATTTGCCTTTCTTTTCTGCTTTTTTTTTTTTTCCTTTTAGGACCTACAGAAAGCACCAATCTCACCTTACAATGGAATTTAAAAAATCACCTGATGGTGGATGGGGCTGGGTAATTGTGCTGGTCTCCTTCTTCACTCAGTTTTTGTGTTACGGATCCCCGTTAGCTGTTGGAGTCTTATATATAGAATGGTTGGATGTCTTTGGTGAAGGAAAAGGAAAAACAGCCTGGGTGGGATCCCTGGCCAGTGGAGTTGGCTTGCTTGCAAGTAAGTGGAGAAATGTATGCCCCTCCTTACTGTTTCATCCTTAATTACATTTGCTGCATTGTGCATTGTTAACATTGTGCAAGGCATAGAAAGGCTTTCTTTTTTCTTTYTCTTTTCTTTTTTTAAGTATAACATGGACTGGGGTGTAGCTCAGTGGTAGAGTATTGCTTAGCATGCACAAGGCTCTGGGTTTGATTCCAAGCACTGAAAATAAAATGTCTAACATATTTTCCTGATGTGTCCTCTTTTGCCCCTTCTTCTAATACATCAATATGAAAACACAGGAATTCCATAAAATAATCAATTATTCATGAATGAATGAATGAATTCCTCTACTGTTCTCCCTAAAGAGGACAGAAATCTTAGTGTGCCARGCAGTGCACTAGATGCTAGAAATGAAAAAATGAACTGCAAACCCAAGGCTCCTATCATTAAGAAGCTCATAGTCTGGGGCTGAGGAGGTAGCTCAGAAAATGTGGCTCAGTGGTGGCAGGTTTTCTGCATGTCTGAGGCCCAGGGTTGGATCCCTAGCACCAAGCAGGGGAAAAAAAATGAAGCTCACTTTTTCATGAGGGGACTTATATACTTTCTTGAGTACAAATGAATAAGTGATGAAGGGAGTGTGCTAAGTATATTCAAGATGTGTTGGTGACCAAAGGACCAAAAGATGTGCAGGAGATGTCTAAGTCGTTTCCACCTGACTCTTGATTGCTCTTCTGGTTTGCTACCCTGATCAGATCAAATGTCCTATATTCATGACAGCTTCATAAGAAAAATATGACACAGCAAATTGTAGTCTTGTCTTACAATGATGATGTTATTAAGGATTTTAATCCGGGTTCTGAAAAAGGTAAATGTGTGGTAGTTTGTGTGTCTTTGAAAGGAAGTTTTTGAATAAATGGTTGCATATTATATAATACTGATTTCTGTCATCTTTATGCACTAGAGGATTTTTAATTTTGTTTTGCCATCATATTCTACTTCAATTTCTGACATCATTCTTTGAACTCTGCAGTAATATTTAGTGATCTTCRCTGTAATTTACTTAGAACTACTGAAGCATAAATGTGCTAAGACAGTGACTTAGATAGGGTCAGTAGCCCTGGAATCTCTTCCTGTGTGTCATGAATTTGACATGATTTGCTGAGCAAATCACATTCTTTCTTCTTGTGAGGAAAATAAGAACATTGAATTGGTTATTTATTAGATGTTTTTGAGTTCTAAAATGCTTATAACAAAGTGCATTAGCTGTTCCTTCTTTTAAATATGTGTGTCTCTTGGATGTTAAAGGGACTCTTGGGTGGGAGGTGGGGGTGCAGTCAGGAAGCAAGTGCTTCCAATTGTTGTGTTACCTTTACAAATTAAAAACAAGACTTGAAAAATAATGTTAATGATCTGGCTGTGACAGGCATGATAACTAAGCATAATTAAACAAATGAAAATAATATTGGCATTATGAGCACAAAAGAAATAGGAAAAGTTTACCCAAGTCTTATTTGAAAGAAATTTTCAAAATAGGGTCTGCTTATAAAGTTGTCAAAGTACAAGTGGATGGTAATTGATGTGCTAATAAAGGGATTTGAAAGTACTGATTTCTAGAAAACAACCTGGAGTGGAAAGGAAAGAAATTTTAAAAAGTCTTCTAATTTGTCACTGTTATGATTTGGACATGAGGTGTCTCCCAAGGGCTCACGTGAGACAAACAGGAATGTTCAAAGGTGAAATAATTAGATTATGAGAGCTGTGACCTAATTAGCAAATTAACCCATTTGGTGGATTAATAACTTGAAAGGTCTACTGTACTGGTAGTCATTGTAGGCAGGTGGGGCATGGCTGAAGGTGGTGGGTCACTAGGGGTGTGCCTTTAGGGATTATATTTTGTCTCTGGCTCCTTGCATATGTCTGTCTCTCTCTCTCTCTCTCTCTCTCTCTCTCCCTCCCTCCCCCCACTGCCTTCCTGGCTCCCATGTGTGGAATCACCATACTCTTCTGCCATTATGTTCTGCCTTACCTCTAAGGGGGTGGAGATGGCCGACCATGGAGTGAGACTTCTAAAACCTGGAGCCAAAATAAACTTTTCTTCCTCTAGTTGTTCCTRTCAAGTATTTTAGTCACATTGACAAAAAGCTGACTAACACAGTCGCCATTTCCATTAGGAAATATTTAAGTTAAACAGAAATGTAACTACCCACCTTCCATCAAGGGTCCAAGGATARTTCTAAAATGGCATCTTACTTAGTACCTAGTTGGAGAATGAGGCTTCTTTTCATGAAATCTGTCCAGGTTGGAGAAAGCTGAGGTCTCCTTGAGATGGGGACAATTTTCCCTTGAAAATTGAAGTGTAGCTATGAACTTTCTCCACATTCCTAGTGGATATTCAAYTTTCTCCAGGGCCAGGGGCAGCCATCTGTACTTTTAAGCAAGAGGGTACATAATTTGTAGGCCCTGGTACAAAATGAAAATACAGGMTCCTTGCTTAAAAATTTATTAATAATTTAAAGACAATGACCGCAGAGCATTAAATAAAATGTGGGGACCTTCTAAGAGCAGAGCCTTGTGCAACTAATTAGATTACAAGTCCAAGAGGCCAACCTGGCTTGTAGGGGCTGGAGCGATGAAGAATTTTACCAAAATTCRGGGAGAGAACAAGTACTTGGAGAAGCTTAGTCAGAGGCTAACTCAAGTCCTGGCTCTGCTACCATATARCTGAGGAACCTTGTGCAAAGCCCTTTATTTCTCTAGGCCTGATGTCATCAGTTTGATGAGGAGGCACTTGGACCTGCCAATCAAAGCTTTTCAAGATGAGCATAGAAAAAGGAGAGCAGAGAGTTCAAGATGAGGAAGCAGTGAAAAACAAGACAGCTAAAAAGCTAACACTATGGGACTGCGTGTRTGTCCTTCCGACATTGTGTCCAGCTGTGAGCATAGTTCACACCACTGAAAATATGTGATGTTTTCCCCGTGGTTCTTTGCAGCATAAATTAAGAGACAAATCTTGAAAGCTGAGGTTCTACTGTATAAGCAAGCAGTGTCTAGCAGTATGTAAGCCACACTGAAAACCTGCTTTTTTGACAACTTTGTTCTAGATAAATAAGATCAATATTACTTTGGAAGTGGGTCAAGCATGTTTCATGTTGGCAGTCCAAATGGTTACTAGTGGTTCTTAACCAGAGAGATAATTCGAATCATTTATAGAAAAATTTCAGCACATGATTGCTTAGATTTTGCCCTTTAGTCATTCTAATTCAGCTGTAAGGGGCCCATGTATATTAATGTGCATCCCTGTGTATGTGCATGTTGTATGTGGGCACATGCATGTGTGTGCGGGCACGTGCATGTGCAGGCACGCAGGGGATCAGATCAGGGCCTCACTTGAGCTAAGCAGACCTTGTACCGCTAAACTACAAGACCAGTCCCATTTTYCCCCTGAAGTCTCAAAAGTGGTTTTTATTTGGGAACTATACTGGCTGAAACCTTTTCTATTTAGATTTTGGCTTTGTACTTTTTTGATAACTCTCAAGTTTCTTTGTGGATATGACATTGCTCATGCCATAGAGTTATAAAAAATAAATTATGTTTTCAGTGACCCTGGTTCTGGTAGTATTCTAGTGAAAAAAAATGCATAGATTCAGGGATATGTATGAAAAATACATAAATTCAGGGGTATGTATTAATTATTTGAGTTTGTTTAAAAAACATTGTTCTTACACATCAGTGGGTGGAGGTGGAAGTGGGGATGTGAATAGCGTATGGTCCTGGGAATCTGCATTTTAACTAACTCCCCCATTCTGATGCAGGTAGGCTATGCAATCTCTGAGAAACATTGGTAATTTTCTTTATCTAGTTTTGTCCAGAGAAGACATCATGCTTGATCAATTCTGTGATCTGACCTCTAGAACTTTATGATAGCAGAATAAGGACATTTGCCAAGAAACATACAAATTCTGTTTTTCATGTATTTAATTTTCCATTACATTCTCCAACTATTCATTGAGTGCTTGGTTTCTACCCATCACTTTTACTTGTTTAATCTCAGTCAATCCTCATAACAGTGCAGTGAAGTGGATGTTATTGTCCTCAAGGCTTTAGGGACAATGCTCAAGATATACATTCTCTAATGGGAAGAGTAGTACCTGAGATCAGGCTTTTCTAACCTGGCAAAACTGTTCACGTTTAAATTGAAGATAATAAAACTACCAAAAATATAGGATTATTGTGTAGAATAACTGAAATAATGTTTGACCTATGGTAAGTGCTTGATAATGTTAGGAGTTAGAAAAGAAATCRTGAGTAAAATTACTCACTCAAGCAGTTCCATCAAAACTATAGAACCTGAAAAAGAAAGGGATCCTTCAGAATGAAAGACAAAGACACTTCTTGGAAGAAAGGGTTAGCAAAGAGTGCCAGAACTTTCCTGGGGTTGCAGTTAAACATCTGGAATTTAAAGACCCATCCCTTATCTCTGACAAAGCTGACAAAGCCAGATTTGGACAGTCGCTCTTCATATTAGAACTAGGAAGAGGCAGGCATGCAATTCTAAACTTTCCTCTCTACATGACCTTAATTCTTTTATTTTTTAATTTTTTTTAGTTGTAGATGGWCACAATACCTTTATTTTATTTTTATGTGGTACTGAGGATTTTGAAACTTGAATTGAGGAGAAAATACTTTTTTGCCTGAATTACTATTATTCATTCTGATACTGGGGATCTAACCTAGARGTGCTCTACTGTTGAGCTACCTGTGCCCTGCCCTTTTTTCAGACAGGGTTTCCCTAATTTTATTTTGAGACGGGCTGATCTTGATCTTGTGATCCTCCTGCTTCAGGGTCTCAAGTACCWGGGATTACAGGTTTGCACCACTGTACCCAGCAGGTGGCCTGAATTATTTGTTTATCCAGATGATCCTTGGGATTGTCACTGGAGGTGGTATGAGTAGGTCCTGGAGAAGGGAACTTCAATTCAGGACAATGGGGTCCTTGACATACAAGACAGAAAAGA